TTTTGAAATGAATATTTTAAATATATCTTATCAACATGTCAATTTGGGTGTAATAGGAAAAGGGTATATAATAAATTCGATCATTTAAAAAATCATTTATTTTATTATAAAAAATTTTATATTTGGTTTGATATTAAATAAGATAGAAATTAAAAATTGTAAACAACTTAGATGGGCTACAAGATCAACATCGCTGAAGAATGGGCATCGTTAGAAGCCCACAAAATGGCATGAGTTAAAGAATTATCTAGTGAGAATGGTTGACATCCTAAATAAAAAGGATGATCCCCTCATCATTTTTCTTCGTCAATTCAGGTGACGATCATGTAGGCTGTGTTTGGTTGCAGTGCAAATTTATTTGCATTACTATAAATGCATAGGAGTGCAAATGTAAAAAAATGTAAATTCTTGTTTAGTTTTATTTTAGATTTTACTTTATTTTGTTTTATGTCTTAATTTACTTCATTTCTACTACAATAAGACAAAATAATCTAAAATTTGAAACTAAAATAGGTCAGAATTTACACTCAAATCATTTGCACTGCCATGACTCTGCATCAGTGCAAATTTATTTGCATAGCAACCAAACACAGCTTTACGTGCATGCATTTAGAGAAGCAAATTTGCTGTGAATTGATTGGTTATGGACATTCGATTCAAGCAGTAGATCCTAGTAGGGTGGTCTTTCTTTCTTGTTGATGTTGTGCGATCCGAGCAGTCCTATCTGGCGGAAACCTAGCTCCTAGCTGGTGACGGACGGTACCTGAGGCGAAGAGGAAGGTGAAGAATTCCCGGGGAACTGCTCGGCGGGAACACTCCGATGCTTAAGTTAGAACTCTGAGAAAATTGAAGAATACAAACAAAGAGCTGAGAGCGCAGATGGCGCGAGTTAAATACCTCTTCTCTTTGAGGGTCGGGGTCTTTTTATATTGAAGATCTCTCAAATCAGGCACAACCGCCTCTGCCACAACCGCTATTGCTAGAGCCGAGGTGGCGGATGTGGGCAGCCGTTGCAGGGTACGGACCTGTCAGGTGTGCCACATCTGGCAAAAGTGGCAGGCACGATGCCGCCTGACAAGAGACGTGGGTGCAGCCTCCAGATTCGGCAGGTACTATTGTCAGGCAGATCTTTTCTGCAGGTTGCCGAGCTACTTTGCACCGAGCTGCCTTGGTCCGAGCTACCCTACACCGGGGTGATGGGGTAGCCAAGGTGCGAGTGCTTGAGGCAAGCCTTAGGCAAGTATGGGCAGGAGCGTTAATGGGATTATCCAAAGTGTCCCCACTTCGGGATACTTCCCATAGGTCGGGGTGTTCCCTTCTCAGGAAGGAAGAGTTTGGGGCCCACTGGGAGGAGCTCGGGTCTCGGGAGGAGCTCGGGAGTTCTCCTCCCTTAGGGAGAATTCGGAGTATGCTAGATGTTTCTTTTCGGCGAGCTGCTACGTCCGCCGAGTTGTATTGCTGGGCTCTGACAAGTTTAGTACGCCGAGTTATGGCCAGGCTACCACGCTGAGCTGTCACTTATGCCAGGTTGTACCCACGTGTCCCCATGCTACGATGTCGGGCCAATCACCCTCCATCACCTGTGATCTATGTTACAACCTCCTCCCTTTGGCAGTCTTGTGCATATCCTTTTTTGAGTTTTTTCTTTTCACAAAAAGAAAAAAGACAAATAGAAAATTGAGGGAAAGTTCGTGACAGGTTTTGTAAAAACTACTTAAAAAATATTTTCACTCAGTTTTCTCTCTCTCTTCTGTTCTATCAAACCAAACATAGCCTTACTTTTTTTTTTCCCTGCTACCAAAAATAAAACTTCCTATGCTGTCATTAATTGAATTAAAATTTGGATAAATTACAAAGGTTTCCCTGTACTATAGGGTCAATGACAAAGATCTCCCTCTATTTTAGTTTATAACAAAGACCCCCCTAGAACTTTGGCTGTTAGACAAAGATCCCCCTCCGTTAGTGTTCTATTAGTTAAGTTTGAAAAAAAAAATCATTCAGCTGTTTAAATTTTTTTAAATTCCCAAATTGCTTTTTGTTATTTATTTAAACAATAGGAAGACATCACCAACGATATCATCATGGATTCTAGTAACCGTGACGATGATTGATTTGTTCATTCCTCTTCAATTGGTGGTTTTTGTCCTGGAAATCCACATGACTGGTGTCTTGTTAGTTGTTCCATTCTTAGATTTCACCTTGATTTGTTCAATCCTCTTCAATTGGTGGTTTTTGTTGGTTGTGCCATTCTTTGATTTCACCTTGTTTTATTCAATTTCTTCAATTGGTGGTTTTTGTTCATTGTGCCATTTTTGCCTGATATAGCCATTTTTTTATAGGTAAGTAGCATTTTGGTCTTTGTTATGTGAGGGATATCAAGAGACTTGGAAAGAAGCCAGTAATTTAACAAATTCTATCATCTAATTTAACAGTTAGGGGGTATTTGTTGCAGGGTAAAAGTTCAAGGGGATCTTTGTCGCAAAATGAAGTATAAGAGAGCCTTTGTCACTAACCCCATAGACATAATTTACCCTGAAAATTTTATTTTTTAGATTATATGTTCTTTGTTAATCAGCCCGTTGCAAAAGAACAAACCAAACACCTACAAAAATAAAATGCAAAAACAGAGGAAATCAAGAGAAAAAAATGGCAATAGAGATTACAAAGATGTACAAAACCTCTCTCGCAGAAACCTTGAATCCCAATACATCTAATTTCTCAAGTCCAATTTCTTTATCTAGTCAAAAGATAAAACCCTGAAACAATTCAGTTCAGATCCACAAGCTAAAAATGGATCAGTTTAAATTTTGCATTCGAATTTTTTTTCAACTTGATTTGAAGCATGTGATAAAGTAAATCACAATAAAAAATAAAAAATAAAAACACAACATAGCCAACCATAATGATGTTCTGAATGAACATGGTCATGTATGACAACTCTGCACGGGGAGGTTTGGATAATATCCCTGCTATGGTACCTTAGTAGGAATGTGAATATAAGTGGAAACAAGAATGGTGCAATAGAATTCTTATGATTGTATAAGATTTTAGTCATTTTACATGTACACAGCTGCAACAAGACAGGGAACGCACGACTCTGCTATATGCTATTGCTGAGTGCTACTTTTCAAGAGAAAAAAAAAAAAAAAAGAAAATATAATAATTCCTTTAATTTGGTCCTTGCTCACAACTGAATTGGTGCAAAAGAGGGTTTAGGCCCTGGGATTTAAGCAGATTCCGATCTCACAACTCTGGTTGAAATAGAATCCACTGATTTCTAGTCTCCAGAGCTTCCCATAAAATGCAGACCTGCAGCTGCAGGATATGGCTGTAGATAGGGGTGTCAATGGATCGGTTTTGGATTGGACCGTGTTCAAATAAAAATCAATTTGGATAAATTAAACGGACCAATAAGACAGATTGGACTGAACCAGTTTAGACATAATGGTCTGAAGTATTTATTGGATTGGATTCGACCTGGTCCATTCATCCGTAATAGATTTATATTGGATTGGATTGGATTGAACCAATATCTGGTTCGGTCCATTGATAGAAGATAAAGAATATAAGTGTCAATAATGAACCAATCTAAATTAAACCAATTTGAACAGAATAAATGGTATTGAAACTGGTCCATCTGTAATCGATTCATATTGGACCAAATCCGGTCCAAATGACACACACCACTCCGCCGGGATCTGTTTTGGTGGAGGAACGGGAACGGGTGTCCTAAATTAGTGGTTACACGTCATCCTCCCACCCTGTCTTTCTCTCTCTACCAGGCTACCAGACTTACCACTACCACAACAACAGAACAGTCCCACTATTCATCGCCTGACGGAAGTCCAAACTTTAATGAAGAGTCGAGACATAGAAGAATACGTCAGTCCCCACATGGGGGACCCACCTGGATATTATATTTCCCGATTGTACCGTGGTCCTCACCAAATGACAAAGAGGGATCCCCACAGGATGGAAACCATTTTTACGTCGATGATGGATCTTGTCACCATACCAGGACGGGAGCATTGAGCAAGACGTCGTCCTCTCCGATTTTACCCATTTGTAGCTGGTCCTGCCTTGGACTGGACTGGAACATATGGCCATTGATATTACAGTACACCGTATCTCAATTCTCATCTCAATCTCAATCCCCCTGCTTCTGCTTGATAATTTCATATTAATGGCGCACTGTGGATATTTAAATATTCCAATTAATGATCGAATCGCATTAGCGTTTAATGGGATGTCTTGTACCGATCGATCGATCGACCGTTGCTAAGTTGACCTGACCCGACCCTTTTGGGTTTTGGGACGAGATTCATTACGGCCATAAATTATGCTCCTTATAAAGTGAGCAACAATTATTCAACACTTGTATACACAGTCCATAGTACAATTACTTTAGGGTCATTGTCAGCTCAACACCCTCCATCCATCCCTCCATCAGATCAGATCATACAAGCGTCTTTTGTAATCTTTTCAGTGAAGGATTGTCTTGACTTGAAAATTGTATTCCTCAATTTCCTGGGTTTCACAGAAACTCTTACATGGTGACGCTGATAACATTTAAAACAATTGTTCTTTTGTTTCTTTACAAACAGCAACGAGGGAACAATTTCTGATCCAATTAATTCCGCCTTGTCTGCTGCCGGTTTGGAATTTCTGCACGGTCCATGGGAATTAATGCAAAATTGCGGCGATTCCGACTATTAAAGACGGCGACCGGAAAGGTAGAAGGCGACCCAGGTTTGTTTCAGTGACTGCTTGTATAAGCTTAAAGAAAAGCTTTCTTAGGAAGATTTTACCAATATATAAGACTTTGTTAAAATTGGTCACTCTTTAGCTTCAACTGCTATTGTTTGAAGCTTCAACAGAAAAGGTCGTACGTGGTCCACTTTCTGGGTTGGGTTTTCTGTTTGGCATAATGATCATGCACGAGAGTCTTCTGGTCAAGATCGAACAAAACCCCAGAAATTAAGATTATTATACAACTGGAGAAAAATAAATAAAAAAGCATACTTAAAGCTGCAACTGTTTTGTACACTGCTGCTAATTCTGAGTCTATTCATATTAAATAAAACAAAAGTTAAAACAAGAAGAAAGAGGTTAATCTAATGAAGTGAGGGACTTGTTTTGCTGTGACCACAGAAACAGCTCCATTAATTCCATTCGTATTCTTTCACTACTTAAATTTGATGAAAACTAATAACCAACTCATAAACAGTTGATGGGGAATCAATTGTGCGTGCACCATTGCTTCTGGCCTGGAACCCACTTGGGGCATTTTGGGCTGAAATAATTCGAACGAACCCTGGAGTTCAGAAGCTCGACAATGGGAGCAAACTTCACACAGCGTGGTGTCTTGTACTGGTTTATTGAAGCTCCTCTACTGATAGCATAGTCCATGAGTTTGTCGAAGGTGCCGCTCTCGACTACCTTGATCTCTAAAGGGCCAATAGATTTGTCCGAGGAACGGCCTTGGCGGTAGACGCTGTTGAGGGATTCCTCAATTGTGAGGCAGCAATCCTCGAAAACCGAAGGAGGAATTGGAGTTACACCGTCGTGGCGTAGCTCCCAATATAGGACGTAGTGGCCGGGGATGGTCGTTGTATCCGCATAGCTTGTGTACTCAGTAAGAGTCGCGTCAAACGGCACCAGATGATTGGTGGCGTTTTTCACTGCAGCCTGCAGCTCGACTTCGTCGGTCTTGTCCGAATCTATGCTCAAAACAACGTTCTTTCGACATATGAAGTTAAACTGTGGGGCATTGTTCTTGAACCCCGCGACTCGAAGCACGTCTCCAACTCTATACCGATACAGTCCTGTTCATGATAAAAAAAAACTCAATTCATTAATAACGTTGGATCAAGAAGAATGGGATTCGTAGGTGTAATCTTACAAGTATATATGAGTAATCTTAATTATTTACCTGCATAAGTGGTGACAACGAGCTCGTACTCTTGACCGAGCTTGACGTCAGTGAGATCGACCAAATCTTGCTGCTCCTTCTCGTTCAGGGATTTGGGTACGGAGACCGAATTGGCGACTCCGTTATTCCTCTGTACAGGCAAGAATTCGAAGTAGGCCATTGTCGGGATGAGTGTATAACAGACTTCGCTAGGTTTGCACAAAGGATTGAGATTTAGGCCGAAGTAGCACTCGGAAGATGCGTACATGGTGCAGACGAGGGGGAGGCCATTGCTATAGTAATCTAGAGTGGGAATATATTGAGACATGGTCCCGGTGACGATAACATCAATGTATTTGGTGTTGGGCCATAACCTAGTTATGATCCCCTGCCATGTCTCCTTTCTGCATTCGGCCTCAATAAAGTCTGCAAGCTCGGGTTTTGGTTTAAGAATTTTGGAGACGGCGTCTCTCACCGATGCGTCTGAGATCTGAGGGTTAATGGTTCCGGTTCTGATGTCGTTGCAGAGGAGGGACCAGTGTTTCTCGAGGAATCGGATTGCTCGAATGAAGCCGGAAGCAAAGACAGCTCCAACTCGTAGAACTTCCTCGTTTTGACAGAGCCCACAGAGTAACTGGGTGTACATACTCTGGTAAGAATCTGGACAGAGAATGGTCTCATTTGGACTGGTGTAGTTGGTGTAAGGATCGTAAGGCCTGCGCTTAAAATGTGAGCTCTTGTAGTAGCTAGTGAGGACTGGGCGAGCTATTAGTCCTCCTGGTGTTTTAGCCTCCGATTTTATAAACAAGAAGTACATCCCTTTGCCTTTGTCCAAACCAGGAACAAATTGGTCCATCACAGGCATCAGAAGGCTGTACAGCAACGATCGCCTGTTGAGCTCTTCTTCTATGGTGGGCATCAATTTCCTCTCTCCGGCAGAGGTTCCCGAGCTATACACAGTCAAAAACAAACCCGACCATGTTAATACCTTTTTTCTGTCATGTTTGAATTAAAGCATTTAATTTCAACTATTGCAAACAGTAAGTCATACGAAGAGAGTGGACACGTCAAGAAACCCACCTAGTCAAGAACTCGGAAATGGGTAATCCGCAGAGGATGGGTGAAGTATCTCCGTTAGCAATACGGTTGATATCAGACTGCAGGTCCTCATAGCTAACGACGGGTATGACCTTCTTGAAGGTCTCCCGGTCCGTACGCCCATTAAGGCCACGTCGTTGTAAGTATTCGACATGGGCGCTGCGAGAGAGAATCTCAGCGAGCACCTGCTTCTGAACTTGATCGGCGTTAATGGTGACATCTTCAATAAACTGAAGTGCCTTTTTGTTGGCATCTGTACCATCACGGTCGAAGACGTAACCATTTGCTAACGACAGGTTTTTGGGAGCTTCAGGCATGGTGTGAACACTGTTTCGAAGAATAAATGGGGAGGGAGGGAAGGGAAGGCAGAGAGAGAGAGAGAGAGGGAGAGAGAGAGAGAGAGAGAGAGAGAGAGAGAGAGAGAGAGAGAGAGAATTGAGGGGAACAAAGTATAAGAAAGTAATACTGGAAGAGAGGAGGACTGATGAGGAGAAGAGATGGGTGTGTGGGTGGGGAGTAGGGGGAGGATAAGGCGATATATATAGACGGGGGGAAGTGAGGGTGACTGCTGTAAACTAACAGTATACTCGCTCAATTCACCAGTGCGAAAAAGGTGATAAGAGAGGTACTGAACTGATGGCGTGCTTTATCGTAAATATCCCCTCTAGTTTTTTTTTTTTTTAAATTTTGACCTTTTCATCCTAACTAACAATTTTCATTTTCTTTTTCTTCTTTTTTTTGCTTTCAGCCATCTGGGTCTGGGGAGATGCAGCGCCTGCGTGTGCTTGTCGTACAAGGACAACCGGGGAAACCGTTTGGAATCCACCTTCCCAAGTCAAGAAGGGCAGAAAATGAAGAGGATTTGGACGGGCAATATCCAGTAAACCTGCTGTAAATACACCGGGTACATGGGTGCTTGTACCACGGGTGTTCCTCATAGTACCGGCAGCTTCATCCGTAATTTGTTTGGAGCCTCGGTTTCCCGGTAATGTGTTAAACCGTTCCGTCCTTCTCACAGTCCCTCTGCTTTTCTGTCTGTATTTTGCTTAATTTAATCACAATAATTAATTTGATGTGGTGATCTACGATCTTACAATTTCTTTTTTTTTTTTTGGATAAAGAAAAAATTCATCATTCATAAGCAAATGCCTTAAAATAAAACATAAGAGTATAAATATAACAAGCAAAAGAATGGATTAGTATGGAGTATGCAGAGAGTGGTTGTGGGGGAGGTTAATTTGAATTTGAATAATTTCTTGTGCATGCATCCTACCAACCTAGTAGGAACCGGCAGCTGCCTAACTTGCAGCTGGGGAAGTGTACGTGTACTAATGGTTATAGAAGCGATGACTTCACGTTTATTACAATCTCAGTGAGAGTTTCCTCATCGCCACACACTTGTCGAATGGTTATAGAAGCGATGACTCCGAATCTGTTACTAAACCCATTGCCCATCGGTGCATGGTAGCAACTAGCAAGATGGTGCAAAGTATATATACAACCAACCAGTACTATTACATAGTGCAGCTTGATACCGGTTGATGCCACAAGAAAGCACCAATGAAATCTTTTATCGGGTCGGACTGACCCTAGTGATCATCCAGAAAGATGCGGAGAGATAGAGAGAGACGTATTAAGAAGAATTCATGAACTAATTACTTGCACGTCTTGGTTAAGAGGATGTTGTTTCACGTTGAAAAGGTGGGATTGATATAGTTTCTTAATTTAGTTGCTATTGAATGTATAAATAATATAGAGTTGAGAAAAAGGGAGGATAAGAAGCTGGGGAAGGGAAATTGGGAAAATGACACGACAGTAGCGTCAGAATTACGTGGTTGAGGCATGTAAAGGAGGATGGGCTAAAGCAGAAAATGAAATCGGGATCGCCTTTGACATATAAGTAGTAGGATGATGATGGACATGGACTATGTGGTTGGTTAGGCAAATTCTAGAGTTTGGATATACAGTTATCCATCATTTAAATTTGAAGGTGCTTGTTCAACTGAAGGTAGCAAAATGGCAATATGGCGGGTTTGGGGTGGGGTTCATATTTCTGTCCCTGATTTCTTCTTGAAGATAGAAGTTGTGTTTTATTCCCAATATTCTTACGGAGACTTGAATTTCTGAATTCATTTTAGATAATAGTTTTTTTTTTTGAAAAACAAATTTAATTAAAATGAATAAAAAATTTAAAATATAAATAATATTTTAAATATATTTTAATTATATATAATAATATATATTTAATATATATAATTGGGTTAGAGACAGGTGAGGATCTAAATCCCTATCCCAACCCAATCCATAAAGGAGGCCAAAACTTATGGATGGACCATAAAGAAAACCAACCATTAGGTGAAAAAGGAGGAAAAAAAACAAACTTATATATAAAAATGTACTGAATGTACAAATTTCTGGACCATAAGAGGACTATGACTCCCCTAGGTCATCCCCCCCTAACTCCGCCCCTGAAGTCAGATCGCAACAAAGATGAAAAAAATTACCATCCCTAATTCAATGTCTATTAGCTAACTCCAGTACCACCGAATTATCACTATGTAAGTGTAGAGAGTAGTTCAAACTTGAGTCAATAACCACTTAATCAAAAGTCAAATTTGTATGGGATGTTTGGGGGTGGGAGTGGACCCGGATGATACATGCAAACACGCAGCGATCAATAATTTGTTGAATCCACCATTATGTTGGGCTTGGGCATCAATAGATGGCCACGTCATCTTGGTAGAACTGACTGAGGAGGTTGGTGGTGGGGGAAGGGGGTCAACCTCATCCATCCAAGGGAGGAGGGGTATTCCCTATTCCGTATTCGTATAATCGTATTCGGGGTGTTGTTTAAAGTTTATTAGTTTAATAGTTTATAAACTTTAAACGGGATGTATGTATGGGTAATGGGTAATGGATGGATGTCAACGACACGTCACCAGCACCCAAGGGAAGAAAGCTTGTACCAGTTGAGTTGGACAATGAATATCAGAATATGTCCAAACGTGGTCCCTCCTTCCCTGCCTTGTCGCCGTTTGTCCTCCTATCTGCCAATGTCTGGCCCCTTTCAGTTTCTCCCATCACGTGTCCAACCCCCGTTGGTCTTATCTCTGTCTCCTCTTGCTTCCTTCTTCCGTTGCTTTATTTTTCTTCATTCGGATAGAATACAAAAACCTTACTCAAGTTTCTGACAATCATAAAAAATTTTTGTATAGTTTTATTTTAGTAAAAACTCCCCTTCTATTTTTGAAAAAATTGATAACTACTTTGAAAAAATACGAACAGATTCAATGCAGATTTTTTATTTCCACTGTAAAATTATAAACATTCAAAATGTCAACAAATCATATTTTATGTACCAATGCCCGCCTGTAAATTGGCATCAATTTCGATCTAACACCTACCGGGCCTACAAATTCTGTCCCTGTGCTGAACCATCATTCTCCCTAGATACTTCTCTTTCGTCGATGACCAAGACTAAAAACGTGTATAATTGCATTTTTACCCTTAGGTGTCATTTTGATCAATTTACAAAATTCTGTATTTACCCTTAATCGAGCAACTGCTTAGATTTCCTATTCTTTTTTGACAGAACACTAACGCAAACTCTAGCAGTTGCACAACGATATTACTTGGAATATTTTGAAATATTCCATCCATTTTTCAGTGATCATACTTCATCGAAGACCATCATTTATCGTCGTTCTTCATCGGATACTGTTATTCTTTCATTCTCTAAGAAACCATACCGCTTTTCACTCTCTAAGAATCCATAACTTTCTTCACCAGAGACTATTTTGTTGTTCATTCTTTGAGAAACCAGACTTTTTTCACTCTTTGAGAATCCAAAACTTTCTTCACCAAAGACTATTTTGTTGTTCATTCTCTGAGAATCCAGACTGTTCTTCACCAAAGACCACCATTCTTTCTCTATTCTTCACTGGAGACTATTTTTCTATTCATTCTTGAGAATCTAGACCATTCTTCATCGGAGACTACAGCCCTTCTTCATTGTCCTTTATCGAAGATCATTTTTGTTGTTCATTCTCTGAGAATCTACTGTTGTTCTTTCTCTATTCTTCACCAAAGACTATTTTGCCATTCATTCTTGAGAATCTAGACCATTCTTCACCGGAGACTATCACCCTTCTTCATTGTTCTTTATCGGAGACCATTTTTGTTGTTCATTCTCTGAGAATCTACCGCCATTCTTTCTCTAAGAATCGAAGTATTGATCGACAGGTCTGTCTTCATTGTCTGAGAATCCAAGGAGTTTGATTTCTATTATGTGAGTTCATTTTTCATATTTCTTTGCTTCATTTTCTGTAGTGTATATCTTTATTCATTTTCGATTTCTTCATTGAGTTGGATTCGTATTTCTTTGCTATGTTTTCTTGTAGGAGTTTGATTTATTCATCTCTTTGCTATGTTTCATTGATTTTATTTGTTTGTTCTCAATCATTTCTTTGCTATGATTTCCTTTTTTTTTGTTTTCTTATAGGACCATTATGCGTGAAAATGAAAATAGAGAACCCACCTGATTGAAATCCTTGGTTTTTTCTTCCTAAATTTGTTCTCCTGGGTTCGTTCCTCTTGAGTTGCTCATCTTCATACATAAAAAGTTGAATCTAGGATAATAAAAGGGGCAAAGAGTATAAAATGTAGATAGGGGTATTTTAGTAAAAACAGATACACATTAATTCGTAAAAGGATAAAACAGGTGTTTTGAAAAAATGGTCGGTTTAACGTTTTTTGTCTTGGTCATTGACGCAAGAGAGGTATCTATCGATTTTTTCAAAAATAGAGGGAAGGTATCTGTTGTTTTTTTCAAAAATAGAGGGGAGGTTTTTGTTAAAGTAAAACTATAGGGGAGGTTTTTATAATTGTCAAAAATTAGGGCTGCAAGTCAGGCCGGGTTAGATTGGGCTGAGGCCAACCCTAGCCCAACCCTAAGTTCTAAACCCCCAACCCTAACCTTAACGCAACCCTAACTAAATTCCTTCAACCCTAACCCAACCCAACCCAACCCAACCCAAAGTCAACTTCGGGTTGGGCTGGGCTCGATTTGGGCCCAATCCAACCTTCTTCCCATCCCTTAAAATCTTGTAGAACTTCTTAATCATAGATCTTAACTCAATTTCATTACATATATTGATTATATGTTTTATTAGTATTTGTTTGTTGATGTTTTTATTTAAGTACAAAATTCAGAAAAAAAGTGTTTGAAATGAGTATAGTTTATTATGATGACTTATAATAGATCTTTTATGGGCAGCAAGCTATGGGTGGCAAGCAACAAGAGGAGATAAAGAATAAAATATTCAGAAAACATAAAATATATTATCAAGGTTTTAGTATTTCTAATTAGGATTAAGTGAAGTGATTATCTCAAATGAAATAAATGATAGTATGTGGTAGTGGCTGTACAACTATCATGCATCTAAACAAATCAATGTATGATTATATACAATATATATTTATATATGATATGTACTAGAGTCAGATTTGAGTTG